AATGTCCAATCTAAATCTGCTCTCTGCTAGCTTGTGGCCATTATTTCTTGTAACCCCTGGGGGCGCCTTGGTGAATAAATACTCACCAATTCCCTTCTGTGCCCCCGTGATGAACTTATAGGCAGCCACAAGGTCGCCTCTCAACCTTCTCTTGCGGAGGCTGAAAAGGTCCAGGTTCTCTAGTCTCTCCTCGTAGGGCTGGGTCTGCAGGCCCTTAACCATACGAGTGGCCCTTCTCTGGACCCTTTCCAGGTTATCCGCATCCCTCTTGAAGTGTGGCACCCAAAATTGCATGCAGTATTCCAACTGCGGTCTGACCAGCGCCCGATAGAGGGGAAGTATCACCTCCTTGGACCTATTCGTCATGCATCTGCTGATGCACGATAAAGTGCCATTGGCTTTTTTGATGGCTTCGTCACACTGCCGACTCATGTTCATCTTGGAGTCCACTAGGACTCCAAGATCCCTTTCCACTTCCGTGCCACCCAGCAGGTCATTCCCTAGGCTGTAGGTGTGCTGGACATTTTTCCTCCCTAGGTGCAGCACTTTGCATTTCTCCTTGTTGAACTGCATTCTGTTGTTTTCTGCCCACTTGTCCAACCTGTCCAGGTCTGCTTGCAGCTGTAACCTGGTCATAAAAAGAGACTAGATTAGTCAGGCATGATCTGCCTGCTACGAACCCGTGCTGGTTTCTCCTCAGCATAATTTGTCCTGCCGGGCTCTGGCAAATGTGAGCCTTGATAATTTTTTCAAAGACTTTGCCAAGGATGGAGGTGAGACTGACTGGCCTATAGTTGCCCGGGTCCTCCTTCCTCCCCTTCTTGAAAATGGGGACCACATTGGCCCTTTTCCAGTCCTCCGGGACTTGGCCCGTGTGCCACGAGCATTCAAATATTCCCGCCAGTGGCTCTGCAATGATGTCGGCCAGTGCCTTCAGCACCCTCGGATGGAGCTCATCCGGGCCTGCCAACTTAAAGGCATCCAGTTCTTCCAAGTGACTCTGCACCATCTTAGGGTCTATGCATGGTAGTCTGGTGCCTTGCTGCTGCCTCTCTACAACCCCAGTGAGAGACTTGTCGTGCCCCTCGCTTAGGAACACTGAGGCAAAGAACTCGTTGAGGAGTTCAGCCTTGTCCCCCCTGTCCGTCACCAATTATTTCTGCCCATTTAGCAGGGGTCCTTTTCCTCCCTGGGCCTTCCTTTTACTCCCTATATATCTAGAAAACAATTTCTTGTTGTCCTTTATCCAGGTAGCCTGTCTTATTGCTTCTTGCTTAACTGGATAAAGGCAGATCTTTAATTAGATATCTTCACCCAGAGCTGAAGGTGTTGCTTTAGACCTTTTGTTTGTTAACTAGCTGAGCACTCCAATTGACAGACTGCCTATAAATACAGGAAATTCTTATACCAAGTGGATACCGTCTACCAGAAAGAGATGCATCTCAAAAAATTGGAAGTGGTTCTCAACGTGGGCGATTAATAACTTGGCAAAGGCCAAAGATTTGCACTATATAATGTTTTGAAACATACTATATTAGCTTTTAATTTCCTTAGGTCTCACATTGCAGTTTTGTTGATGTTCTACTTCTGTTTTGTTTTTTTCTCATAATCAGCATGATCTAAAATTCCTCAAAGGCCTTTCTTATACTTAACTCCAGTCAAGATATTTAAGTGGAAATCAAGTGTCATGTTCCTTTAGTTTATAGATTCATCACCTCACATTCAGATACTCTCTCTTGTGATCATTATCTCAACATATAGTGTTAGCAACCCTTTTTAGCTGAGCTACTTAATGCGCCCTTCCAAGTCATCTAGGAGCCAGCACCACTTCCCGTGGAAGCTGGTTCCAGATCCTGGCCATCCTGACTGTGAAGTAGTGCCTCCTGATGTCTAGCCTGAATCTACTCTTAGTCAATGTGTGGCCGTTATTCCTTGTTACTCGGGAGGTGCTTGGGGGAACAGGGTCTCACCCAATCCCCTCTGGTCCCCCCTGGTAAGTTTATAGATGGCCACTAGATCCCCTCTCAGCCTTCTCTTATGGAGGCTGAACAGGTTCAGGTCCTGCAGCCTCTCCTCGTAGGGTCTGCTCTGCTGCCCCCGATCATGTGAGTGGCCTTCCTCTGGACCCTCTTGATGCTGGCCACATCCCTCCTGAAGTGCGGCGCCCAGAGCTGAATGCAGTACTCCAACTGTGGGCTGACCAGTGTCGCATAGAGAGGGAGGATCACCTCCTTGGACCTGCTCATGATGCATCTGTGGATACATGACAAGGTGCTGTTAGCCTTACTGACCTTGTCCTCATATTGGCGGCCCATGTTCATTTTAGAATCGATAATGACTCCAAGATCTCTTTCTGCCATTGTGCCTTCGAGAAGGGAGTTCCCCAGCCTATAGGTATGCTGCTGGTCCTTCCTGCCCAAGTGTAGTACCCTGTACTTGTCAGTATTGAATCCCACCCTATTCACATTCGCCCACCCCTGTAATCTGTCCAGGTCTAGTTGTATCCTGTTCCTCCCTTCTAGCATGCCCACCTCACCCCAAATCTTGGTGTTGTCAGCGAATTTGAACAAAGTGCTCTTCACCCCCTCGTCCAAGTCACTAATTAAGAAATTGAACAGTACGGGCCCTGGGGGACTCCACTGCCCTCTTCCCTCCAGGTTGAATATGACCCATCCACCACTACTCTCTGGGTGTGGCCCCCTAGCCAATTTGTGACCCATCTAACTGTAGGCATGAATGCCACAGTCGCCTAGCTTTTTAATGAGAATGGGATGGGAGACTGTGTCAAAGGCCTTCCTGAAGTTCAGAAAGACTACATCCACCGTGACACCTATGTCTAATGATTTTGTGACCTGATCGTAGAAGGCTATCAGGTTGGTCTGACAGGACCTGCCCTTAATAAACCCATGCTGGTTGCCTTTGAGCATTATCCCCCCCCCCCCCCCCCCCCGCTGGTCCCTCACAGATGTGTTCCTGGATAATTTTCTCAATATGCTTCCCCAGCCAAAGTAAGACTAACAGGCCTATAGTTGCCTGGGTCCTCCCTCCTCCCTTTTTTGAAAATGGGGACTACATTGGCCTTCTTCCAGTCTTCTGGCACCTGGCCAGAGCGCCACAAGTGCTCATAAAGCCGTGCCCCGCGATGACCCAATTCCCTAGGGTGGAGAGCATCTGGACTTGCTGATTTGAACATGTCCAGCCCCTCCAGAAGTTCCCTAACTTGGACCTCCCTGACCCTAGGCCTGGCAGAGTCTCTCCTAAGTCCGCCCTGAATCCCGGTGGGGGAGATGTCCTGGTCCCTGTTCAGAAAAATGGAGGCAAAGAATTTGTTAAAAAGGTCTGCTTTTTCACCTGGTGCAACTACCAGATTGCCAAGCATATCCTGCAGGGGGCCCACGTTGCCTAGTGCCTTTTTTTACTCCCAGCACCAGCCGGTCTCCTCCATGCCAGCTGCTACCAATGTGTGCCAAGGGCATGGCTTCCATGGTGGGGTCCAGATACACCAGACCCTAGCCTCAAGCAAGTAGCGCTGAAGCTTCAGTGGCTACCTATCTCGCCAAGGACATGGAGCTGCTGGACTGCAACCCCCTTGGCCTGTTGAACAGCCCGTAACCAGATGTGGCAGGATCTGGCTGTGGTTGTCCAGCAATACCTGTCCTGTCCACCGACCAGTGTTCTGAGCACGAGGGTATTCGGCATTGCTGGGGATGTTGTAACACCCCACTGCACCTGCTTGGATCCTGGTTTGGTGGAGCAGCTTGTGTTCCTGAAAGTGAACCTCCTGCTGCAGGGGTTCTCCAAGCTCTTCCTGTAAACAGAGTGAGTGCCACCTTCCTCACTCCATCTGCACCTATTTCTGGTTTGTTTTTTTGGTTTTTTTAAGCATTTAATGCCTCACTCTCAGAGCTGGAGGTAGCGCTTTAGTGTCTCACCAGCTAGCAGGGGAAAAACATCTCCCTGCTGAGCTCCCATGCCAGGAAGAACTTGGAGGTATAAGGGTTGGAGCTCTGTGGGGAGGAGGTGTCGCCACATCATCCTGGGCATGACCTAAAACTGCACCCTGCCAAGATAGGAAGGCCTCGGTGGGACTACTGGTGGTGCAGCAGCCCCAGGAAATGCCAGGACCGTGAACCTCCCTGGTGAAAGGTGGGTAGGAGCAGGAAGCACCTAATAACCTCTAGCCACTGCACAGTCGTAGCTGGGGAAAGCCCAGACCTGTAAGATCTTTGAGAGGCCTGAGGCTTACTAGTTGCAGTGTAGTTGTGAAGGTGAGAACAGATGCTACCATGCCTGCAGTTTTCATCCCACTGTGCCTTAATTTGTGATGTGTGACTTTGCGTATGTGTTTTGCTTGTCAGCACCTTGAGGTGCAGTTTCCCAGAAACCCCTGCACCTATCTCCTTAAAACCTGGCAGGCTTCATGGCTTCAGAAGGGGCCACCATCCCTGCTGTTTTCATCTAAATCTGCCAAAAAATGACAAAGTTATAGGTATTTCAGTGATTTCCCCATTATCATATATGGCTGAATCACTGAATCTCTCTGAATCGGCACTGAATCTTCTGAAGCTGATTCGGGACAATGATCTGAATCTCCAAATTGAATCACTGTCCTTTGAATCGGCCGAATTCGAATCGAATACTTCCCTATTCACACAGACTAAGTGACGCTCACAGATTGAATTTAGTGCCAGTCCCTTCCCAACTTGTTGCTTCCTACTCTCCCCCACCTCCAGTCTAGAGTGCACTGTTAAGTGCAAAAAGCTCCATTGAGGTCCCCTAAGATTTGGCTGTTAGGTTTGTATGGATACCTGGATGCCGTAGTGATATGAACAGATTATAACTTACATTCATCCCTATTCAGCCAAGCCTAAAGCTCATAATTAAGTGCTCTGCTCTATTAGGGCCAAGAATAACCAAATTAAAGCTCAGATAAAGGAGGTGTGAAAACAAAATTACTGAACAGTTGCTGCTGATGCATTTTCATTTTAACAAATTTTTAGGTATATATGGGATTGGAAGCAAAGCTTATACAAAGTATGTGTGGAATGGTAAACTGCTGGACGTAGTAAAAAATACGATTCATCATGACTGGCTGTTGTTTATTATTCATGGATTCTGTGGGCAGTCAAGTATCCTTTTATTGTCATTAACAATTATTGGTTTAATGCATTTTAAAAGTTCTAGAGTATGAGGCAGCTGTCCACAGGACAAAGGGGTAGTTACGTTGCAACTCTGAAACTCAGTTTTGTTAAAAACATTTGCATGTGTATTATTTGCTTGATTTTTCATTCATTTTGATAGCTTTTAAAAGCCTCTGAGATTTAAAAAAGGAAAGAAAAGAAATGTTCATATCTACTAGGAGTACATATGTAAAAGATGAACAAAGATGTTGATACCACAATACCAATTATTATATGTCACAGGCCAGCTGAGCACTGTGAGTATATCAATTTAGCCACTGGGCTGTTTGGTTCGGGATCGAGGAGGCAGAGTTGGGAGTAAAGCAATGGCAAATTTATTATAGCTTACACACACACAACAGTTAACAGAAAGATAAATGTAAGCACATAATGCAGTATTAAAGAGCTAATAGTAAATAATAACAACAGATAGATAGACCAATCTGTCACAGGTCAGCTGGGCACTGTAAGGGTATCAGCCCCTGGGCTGTTTAAAACAACAGATAGACAGACATGGGTTGGCAACTTATCGATAGTCCCTCAATGCCAGGTGCGCACCAGGGGATTCCAGCCAAGTCAGGCGTCCCCGATCAATGCTGTCAGAGGGATTACTGGGGAAGATCCCTTGATTAGGATCCGATCCTCACTCACACCAGGAGTCCGAGGTCCAGGCGTGGAACAGCAGTGACCGTTCTGTTCCTTCCTTCCTGCTGGTCACCTGATGCACGTGCTTTTTATACCTAGTTTTATGCTAATCTGTTGGCTTTAGAGTCACTCACAATGTTGCCCTATAGCTGTTACCCTATGGGATTAAAAGGTGTTAAAAATTATTTTAAAAGGTTACTGCCCAAACTTGGATTTATCCAATAAGCAAATTACAACGCAGCATCTTCAGGTTTGAAATTATCATTACTCCACCTAAATCCAACACCTTTAGATCTCTTTGACTATGCTTTTTTGAGATGTGCTTTCCCAGAATGTACTGGGTAGGCCAGGCGGTTGAATCCAGTTTTTATCATCATCAAGGCTAAATTCTGAGCAAGAAAAAACCATTAGGTCAGCTAATTTTACAACTATAGCTTTGTCTTTGAGGCATAGTCAGTTCCTAAACAGTTACAAGTTACATTTGCGGGTTACAAAAATACAAGCTTTATATTAGTCAAAAATTCCAAATGCCTCTAAGAAGCACATATTTATTGCTTATTAATTTCTTTGGTTCTGGCCATCACAATTGTATTATACCCCTTAAAAACAGAGCAAAAACAAAGAAACAAAACCATACCATATAGGGAGACTGCTATGTTGGCAAGGAGCTGAATTGGGTCTTTAACACTCTGATGAAGAAATTTGGCAACTGCTTGAGGACCAGATAGTATTTATCAGGGAGTTCTAAAGGGAAAAACATTGTACCACATTTAAATTACTGATAGCCAGCTTTTACTGTGCAAATCTCTAAAACACAGAACTTTCTTGTTTTGTAAGCGGGGGGGGGGGAGGGTGTTAAAAGTATTGAGCATTGCCTTAACTCCTATTGGGGTCACTGATAAAATCCCTTATTGACATGTTGGAGCAGTGTTAAGCCAACAGCAATTAATTTTGGAAATGCTTTTCTGATTCCAATTTTAAATGTCAGTATATAAATATTGAATACAATATTAGGGGAAAATGCATTTAAAATTCAACCACATTTGTACATAAATCAATAATATAATCCTATATGTCACATTTCAATGAGATGCTCCCTTATCTTAGTTCATACAAATCTTGTATGCTATAAAAGGCTTATGCTTTAATCCACCATCTTTATCATGTGCCATTAATACACAAACTTGTTCAGCAGTGAGGAAAGAAGAGTGTTACTGATTCTGAACTTGTGTAACATTTGCAAAAAGCTTCCTGATTTCATTGTCCTCCTTCTTTCCACCCCTTGCTTCCCATTTTTCCCACAAAATTAATCCCATAGAATTATGAGAGCTATTCTGTGGATGTGGCTTGATACATTGAACTCAGTGGGACTTCTTTTACATATGTAGCGTAAAGGCCTAAACTTTTAGCATTAAACTCTCTCCAACTCTATTCTTTAAAAAAACACCAATTTTGGGGATGGGAGAGGAGGGAATTTTAATACTATGTAGCCATAAATTGAAATATATATATTTTTTACATTGTGTTAGAGCCTCAGGTACTTCATACAACTGAAGCGGTGCAGGAAAGCCTTGACAAATTGTTTCACAATTTTGAATTTTTTTCTTTTGAACTATTCTTATGTCTGGCCTACATATTTTGAGGAGCTATGATAGAGAACTATGAAGCACATATTAAGTTGATTTACACCTACATGCTCCTGTGTCCTGGGTCTGATGAATGTACCTCTCATTCCAAAGCAAAAATCAGAACAGTTCTTGGGTTGCTTTAGCTTGTACTATCTGTAAAAACAAAGGTAGCTAGGAATTTGTACATTACAGGGTGTGCTGGACAAACACACTATGCTGTGTCATAGGTGACTTCTTTGTAACCTGTATAATTTCTAGTTGGCTGTCTGCCATAAGGATGTCCCATCCTGTCTTCTCCCTGTCCTTCCCTCTTTCATCCCCATAATTGATTATGCCATTTTAATGGCCAGACTGTGCTTGCAGCGCAATCCTTTACACTAGGGTTTGGTCCCACTGTATCTTTTCTTGTGAATATTAAAACACTAAAGATTTCCCCATGGATATGCTGTCTTCAAGAAAAAGTTAATTTAAGGTCAAGTTTGACAAATAGATGAATGTTGTGTTGATCAAGGGTAATTTTAAAAGTTATTACTGTTATTGGGTAAGTAATAAACTGAAGTCAAACCACAACTGCTTCTGTAATGATTTTCAGTACCTTTTAACCCTTCTTGTTACATAGACAGTTGTGCGTTTAAATGTTTTTCCAGGATAAATAATTGGAAGATGGCCTGTATATCTGATTTGGAAAGAGGAATTCCTGAGTTCTAAACCCTATGCTGATAATGAGCTTGCCTTCTATGGCCTCAGATAAGATGAATTTTCTTTGGAGTTCCTTTTTTCCCCCTGTATTAATCAAGATTAAAATGAGTGACAGGGAAGTGGCACTTGTAATCATAATGCATGTAAACCTTAACCTTATTACCAAGAACTTTTAATCTATGGTCGTCCAGTGTATGTCACTCTGATAGCCAGAAGATCAAGCAAATTTGCTGGAACACGTTTTCTGAAAAGAGGATCAAACAGTGAGGTAAAGTAAATTGCCTTCAGTTTTTACATTGTTTTATTAGAGCACATGAAGCCCTGCCTCACCTGACTTTAAACTTCTGGTTATTTATTTTTATTATATAAATATTACATCCATCTTATGAACTTCAAGGGGCAGGTGTTGTAAACTAGAAACGATAAAGTAACCATAAGAAAGAGAATTTGCAGCAAGAAAGTTCTGTTTTAGCACTTATAGTGAGACAAACACTGTGAGGCAATTGTTTATAAGGTAGAAAAGAAAATTCTGAGTTGGAAATAGCAGTAGCAAAGGGGATTCAATTATGTTATAGTTGTGTTATAGATATTCAGAACGTCACAACAGACATGTTTTAAGTTTTATGTAGTTTTTCAGAGTTTTATAAAGCTAGAACAATGGGGGGGAGGGAAGCTATACTGTAAAAAAAATTGTTTGTTAAAAAATAACTGATATGCAGCGTTTAGGGCCAAAAATGCAGAGAGATTTAGTGGCATATGCATCGTTATGATCACATGAGATGCTACTGACATGTTTTAGAATTGGTGTGGGTGTGAGGATCCACATTAGTACATCATGTTGCAGCCATAGGGTAGGAAAACCAAACACTCCATGTAGATATGCTGATAGAACTGATGGCAGGCAAACTCTGGGCTAAAAATTCATCATCTTAGGACTACTATTACTTACCAATATATATTTTGCTTGTATCAAATAAAGTTAGTTGCTCTCAGGCCCAGCATTTATGAATTGATTCCTCTGCTCCATCGTAGGGCTGTGCGAAGCTTCGATCACGGATTCAGTTCAGAGAGATTTGATGATTTGGTTATAGACACAGCTTTAAATGTTTTTTTCTATATACCTCAAGGTACCAGGTGGCTTGTGAATCCTGAGATGGTGGGGCGAATGGAGCGTCCTGTGGGAGTGCAGGGGTCCCCCCAGCATGCTCCCCGTGCTTCCGGGTCCACCGGGGAGCGCACAGGGGAACCCTACCCTCTGGCTCAGCGACTGGTGCCTCCTGGGTTGGGGGGGGGCACCTGGGGTCCCCCTGCGGCCAATCGCTGAGCCGGAGGGGAGCAGGGGAGGTCCCCTGCGCACTCAGTGGTGAACCTGGAAGAGGACCGGAAGGTGTTCCGGTCCACTTCCAGGTCTGCCACCAAGCACGCAGGGGCCCTCTCATGCTCCTGTGGGATGCTCCATCTGCCCCACCATTGCAGCCTTCATGAGCTACTCCTTGTACCTCAAGGTATGTAGAAAAAAAATGTAAAGCTGCGTCTATGGTTGAATCGCTGATTCTCCAAATCGGCATCAAATCTTCAAATTCGGATTTGGCTGAATTGAATCGGGATAGTGATCTGAATCGAATACAGCCCGTTTTGAACACCCCTACTCCATACTTAGTTAGCCAGCAGATCAGCATTTTGGGCAAGTCTTATTTTTTGACGCTAAGGAAATAAGCAAGCATACACTTGTAGCAGCTTTAAAAGGGACAAGCTGCTCAGAAGGCAGAGCAGCTGTTATGCTGTGATTGTAAACATGTCTAATTTGACCCGAGATTGATTGTCCCGTTTTTTACTTTGTACCAGTTTTAATCAGTATAGTTCTGTGCACACATCACCCTTCCAAGAGGCACTGCTCCTCCTTTACCTGTAGCCGGCAAGTGAAAGGACACAGCCTGATAGGCTTGTCCTTGGGATGAACCGCAGTAACCATATAGACGTACAGCAGGATATCCCAAGGAAAATTATTACTACACTTTATCTGGCATACTTCAGAGGAATTTGAACTAAGATAATAGATGTGTATACAATCCCAGGACAAAAGGCTTTATCCTAAAACAAATGCAACATCTCTTTGTAGTCTGTAACTGTTACATGTGCATAAGTCTGTAGCATTACCAATGGGCTAAATTCCCCCAACTTTGATCCTGGATGAAGTAGGGTTAAGGTTGGAGTGGTTTTGCATTACTTGTATTGCTACAGGCTTATGCACATGTAACAGTTGCAGGAAGATAGAAGCTTTACACTTAAATTTACACCAGCAGCTCCCCTTCCTTTTTTGAAGCTGCTACAAGTGTATGTTTGTCGATACCCTTGGAACCACTTCTTATACTGGCCCCATGTTTTAAGTTAGATACTACTATAGCTAGATTTTGGAAGGTCTGGAATATTTTGTGGCTAGTAGCATTATGGAGGATAGTACTGCATACTGTTCTAGGTCTAATCAAAGGTGAGTCACTTCTAGTCCAGAATTCTTTGGCTTTTATGACTTGACATTTGCCATTATGCTTCCATCTTTCACAATTATCATTTCCATTTCAAAGTATGCTGCTCTGAAATGTAAGGTAAAATGCCTGCTACTTCTGCGTATTGTTTGTTTCAGGGAGATGTCGCTAACGAAGTAGAAACTGAACAAATACTTTATGATGCTTCAGTGATGTCATTTTCTGCAGGGAGCTATTCTTCTTATGTTCAGGTTCGAGGATCAGTCCCTCTCTACTGGTCTCAAGATATTTCAACTATGATGCCTAAGCCACCAATTACATGTAAGTGAAATACATTCTTCATGGTAGCCTATGGTTAGCAATGTGTTCTAATAGAGCATACCAGCAAGAAAAGGTGAAGGAACAAACATGAAGAAATTGTCTCCCTGTTTCTGTTCTTTGTGAAACTAGTTAAGGGTTGATCAGGAATTCTTTATAATAAACATGTTGTAAATGACTCTGGGATGAAACTGGATCATAAGTAAAGGGGCTTTAGGACTGACTTCTTTATGTTAAAGTTTATATTCACAATGGTTTTTTGTGAATATAGTGCCCTAAAACAGTGCTGCTTGGAACTGAAGATGGCAATCATCTTTGTGTTTGTTATCTTGTAATTGAGTGGTTACTTATGCTTATGTCTCCCTTGAGAGAATGTTTTGGATGAAATCCTGATTCCATTAAACTCAGTGAAAAAACTCCCATTTAACTCTAAGTATCTGACTTCAGTGGAACTATATGCCTGTTCAGAGTTAACTGTGCATAACCTTTTACTTGTTTGAGGCTTGAATTTGTTAATCAGAAACTGACCCTGGTTAAGTTCACTCAGACATTTAAAACAATAAAACAAACAAAAAAACCCAGTTTTTTAAAGGAATAGAATCTTAATTTAACATTTAAATGAAAATGTACACCTTTACAAATACCATAGTGCATTTCTGAGACTCAGTTGAGTGACAAAATATATTATATTATCTGGAGTCTCACATGATAGAGATCCCCTTTTTCTACAGCCCAAAACTTTCCTTGTAAACATCTCCATTAAAAATGCCAGCATAAGGAGTCATGAAATCTTCCTTTTTTTCTTCTTGTTTTTAGTGTATGTGGAGGAAACTTTTTGCTTTTATCCTTTTTTATTTCTTTTCTTTAAGTAAGAGAAGTATATACAATATGCCTATTATATGTTTGCATTCAGTGTCTGCATTGTATATTTGCTTTACTATTTTTAGAGAATTTAAAAATGTTTGGTAAAGAATATTTTAAAAGACATGTGCTTTCTGGATTTGAAAATCCTTGATGCTCTTTTTGAATATATTTTCTTTGTTCCAGTGGACCAAGCAGATCCATTTGCACATGTCGCTGCACTTCACTTCGATCAAATGCTTCAGAGATTTGGCTCTCCCATTATCATTTTGAATCTTGTAAAGGTACAGTATTGTGTAGTTTTAATTTGGTGTGGTGCAAATAGCCACAAATAACTCGTGGTTTTTAATAGGGGTGCTTCAACAAAAGATTTTTTGGGCCAGTACCAATGGCCAATTTTTTTGGAGATCATGAGTTGGAGTTATTTTGACTTAGAAATCCCGAGTCTTATGATGTTTTCGCAACAGTTGGCATTACTGTATGTGCTACTTAGTAACTTTTGTGATGGTTTGAACTATAAACATGATATATTTTGACAAAAATAAAGTTATGAAACAATAAAATTAAATATTAAACCTATATTAAAGTTAACTAACTATACAATAATGCTTTTCCTTTCTTCATAAGAAATAAATGCAAATTAAGTGTATGGCTATTATTGATGATTTGTTTTAAATTGTTATATCTTTGGATTTGTATAAAAATCCTTTTTATATTTTTTTAGTGAGTAGATACTTCATAGTGGTTTGTATAAGAACCATTTTATGTCATTTCATTTTTTTTCTTCATTAAGAATTACTTTCTCATTAGTATGATTCATGATCTGTGAAGCTTTGATTCAGACTTCAGATTTCTTTTTAATCCTCTCCATTATTCTTCCAGTACATTAGGCTGTAGAAATATATTAATTTTAGCAAAAGCCTTTCATATGCATGGGAGAACTTTTTCTAATGGGGAAAACAAACTAAAAAGGTGCAGTACTTTGGCACTGTGTAAGCTGAAGTTGTAAATAGCAAAGCCTATTATTTTCTTTTGCTAAAAGCTCTCTTATTTAGGAGTGCTTTTAAGGATCAGCACATGAGGCTGTTGTAAACAACTTCAGATAGTATTTGTTGACAAAAAAAATGATTTTCTGTTATTTATAGATTTAGTTCTCAAAGGCCATCACTAGAATGAGAATCTGGACACATGACCGACACGCAAATCATTTTGTGCTTTTATTCAGAGGGCTTTAGTAGTGTGTCTGAAAATGTGTCTCTCTGTAGGTGCTCAAAGCTAGGATTCTAAAATTAACGCTCTTTGACCACTTATACATATTTTGGAGAAAAATGTATTGCCCTGTACATGTGAACATTGAGGCAGCACCTGGACAAACACTGAACACTTCTATCTCTGAATATTAATATTCTTTGGAGAACTCTTAAAGGTCAATGAATTTATAAATGAATCTTCTGTTTTTTTCTCTGTAACTAAGAAACGATCAGTAATTAGTAACAGATACACATGCTTTTGCTCAAATTTATTTATATAATTGCAATTGCACCCTTTTCAATTGTTCCTTAAAGCACAGGGTAAGACTAGCATCTAATTTGAATTAATTTATGGAAAATATTAGTTTATAAGTAAGAAGTAAATATACCTTCTGTGCAGAGAAACTGTCAACATAAATCTCATTTTTAACTCTTAAAGTAATTATTTTCATCCTTCGGAGGAGATTAGAAAGATCAATGCTCTTTTTTTCATGTCTTCTCTCTGCCATTTCCTGTTAAAGATCTCTTTCTTATCTTTATTTGTCCATAGAAGCCCCAAGAGAGAGAGTTACCTCTGTACACATTGTATACATTCCAGAGAGAGGTATTTAGCTGCGTTAGTCTGAAATCAGACAGAAGGTAGAGTAGATTTGCATATTAAAGACTAACTAAATCAGAGATACATAAACATTTGTAAGCAATAGCTTATTTCAACAGATGCTGAGAAGGGACTGCAGGGAAGCAGCTTCTAAATAGAAAGCAGTGATTAGAATACAATAGTAGAAAGGGGGGTGGCACTGCTGGGAGAGGCAAAGTGGGTAGAGGAGAAAAACAAAGCAGTTAACCTATTGAGGGATGTAAGGGTTGTAAGAGCAAATCCAGGTAATGGGATAAGAATATGTAGTATTATGTTTAGGTAGCTGTAGTGCTCAGTTGGTTTCCGATATTTATAATGTGGTGGTGATATGGCCATTTCAAACTTCCACAGTGGTATGTAAGAAATGACTTGGCTGGGTGGAATATTTCAGGCTGTTTGATGAAGTGGTGGAAGTTGTTAAAGTCCCAGTGGAATTTCTCTAGCAATTTCTTCCCATAAGTCCATACGATGATGATGTCATCGGTATACCTATATGATGATGATGATGTCATTAATGTACCTTAGATGCACAAGAGGGATGAGAGGGCGGCTGCAAATTAAATGTGCAGATCTCTTTCTGTGTCTTCACTGCCTTTCCAGTATTATTGGATTAGTTGCATAATAATGGATGCCAGTAGTGCCTGCTGCGGGTAAAGAGCTATGAAACAATGGCCATTTTTAGTCATTGTTAATACAGCTATAATATTTTGAAAAATAAACTTTCAGAGTGAAACTTTTATATTCCATCTTTGCTTAAGATGACTTTAGAAAAGCTGACAAATTCTTTTAGAAGTTTTTTGAGTCAGAAGGTGCACATGGAGTGAATATATTTCTCGCTTACATTATTCTAACCATGCTTTTTTAATAGTTTTAAAGCAAAAGTGGCTGAAGGTGAAAATTATTTGGCAAAATTAATCATTGAGGACCATAGAATCATAGAAAATTAGGGTTGAAAAGTACCTCAGGAAATCATTTAGTTCAACCCCCTGCTTAAAGCAGGAACATCCCCAACTAGATCATCCCAGCCAAGGCTGTCTAGCCAGGTCTTAAAAACTTCTAAGGATAGAGATTCCACTACCTCTCTGTATAACCTGTTCCAGTGCTTTACTGCCCTCCTTGTGAGTTTTTTTTCTAATAGCTAACCTAAACTTCCCTTGCTACAACTTGAGACCATTGCTCCTTGTTCTGTTATCTGCCGTCACTGAGAACAGTCTAGCTCCATCCTTTTTGGAACCACTCTTCAAGTTGTTGAAGGTTGCTATTATATCCCCTCTGTCTTCTCTTCTCCAAACTAAATAAGCCCAGTTCCCTTATCCTGTCCTCATGAGTCAAGTCCCCTAACCATTTTTGTTGCCTTCCACTGGACTCTCTCCAACTTATCCACATCCTTTCTGTATTGAGGGGCCCAAAACTGCACACAGTATTCCAGATGTGGCCTCACTAGTGCAGAATAGAGGGGAAGAATCGCTTTCCTTTATCTGCTGCCAGTGCTCCTACTACTGCAGCCCAGTATGCTGTTACACTTCTTGGCAACAAGCGCACATTGTTGGCTCATATCCAGCTTATGGTCCACTGCAACTCCCAAGTCCTTTTTCTGCGGAGCTGCTGCTTAGCCAGTTGGTCCCCTGCCTGTTCCAGTGTATGGGATTGTGCCATCCTAAGTTCAGGACTTTTCACTTGTCCTTATTGAACCTCATGATGTTTTGTTTGGTCCAGTCTTCCAATTTGTCTATGTTTCTCTGAATCCCAGTCCTACCCTCCAAGCATGCGGCTTGAAAAATGTTGCTTTTTATGAAAATCTTTTGAAAACCAAGTACTAAGTGAGCACTGTAAAAAAGGTACTAAAGTGCAGAGTAACAAGCAGACTTATTGAACAGTCTGGGAGTGCCATTTGTGGATGTCATGGATTAAATGTTTTTTTCCAGAAAACTAGAAGCACTCCCACCACTGGGTTCAGCTAAGTCCTCCAGTCTAACTAGCTCTGGAATTGAAAAGGCTAAAAGATCTGCTGATAGCTCTTATCAGATCATGAAGTTTCTTTTTCTTTCTTCTCTCTCTCTCTCTTACTTCCTCCCCTAAACTAGCATAGGAAATGAAATGAAACAACGGAAAAGAAAGAAGAATGAAATGAGCATTGCACTTTAAAAAGAGGTCCAAAAATAGTCAAGTTGCAGAACAACTGTTAACACATTTCTGTTTCATATGTGCTATGTTTTTTTTCTGGTTCAGTATAATTTAAATATTTGTAAGACTAAAAAATTTAGTATTATCTTTATAATTTAATTAGTGAATGTCCTGGTTGGTATTTTTTATCTTTCAATGTTAAATATATAATATACTCTATTATATATTTACTACAAATATTAAATACATAAACACCTTTCTATATACTTATGCATGATGCTTATCATTTCTTTTTCGCATCTAAAACGTAATATTAAAACTAGAGGAGTATGTATATGTAATTTTGTGTATGCCTAAATTATTAATTAAAATATTAATTGTAATTATTTGCCTTTTTGGTAAAGGAACGTGAAAAAAGAAAGCATGAAAGGATTCTCAGTGAAGAACTTGTTGCTGCTGTGACATACCTCAATCAGTTTTTACCTCCAGAACATGCTGTTGTGTATATTCCTTGGGATATGGCCAAATACACAAAAAGGTAGGCATTTTTTTTTCTCTGCATGGACAATGTCCTCTGTTAATTACAGGAATTTTACTTAAGAGGTATTCAGGAGAGGTGTTTCACAGAAGATTTCACATTTCAAAATTTGCCTTTGTCCCAAATCTGAACAAAAATGGAAAATTTGGAAATCAGCCACATAGAAAGATTTATATAAGCCTTTCTTTTCAGTTTATAAAAAAGTAACATTTTTGTATTCTTTCCATTGCAAGCTGACTGCTTGAGTTTGCTCAAAAAATTACTCTGGGAAAAGTAAGTCTTATGGAACGTTAAACTGGTGAAGATATTGCTAAGTATTGTTTGAATTCCAGCGGAGGTAATCTTTTAAGTAAATTTGCCTTAGCATCATTTGAAACCTGTACATTGCAATAATTGGAACTCTGAAAGTGACATTGATTATACACAAGTTACTTTAACTTGATTACTTTTTCTTTTGTGTTACTCTTAACAAAAATCATCCTTTTTTGCAACCTGACTGTCTTTTCGTCTATAAAACAAGCACAAGTCGAGTGACCCATATTTCTGTGCAGTGACTAGTTTCTGTTAACTCTCGGTTTCTTGGGCACAGTCCCAGGTATGGATTCTGTCTGACACCTTTCTTATGTAGTAGGTCTTTGTAATCTAGTTGCCTAAACCCAGAACCAACAACTCAGTCCTCCTGAATCACTAGCTAAATGCTGCAGGGAAAACCCACTTGCAAACAAGAAACCAAAGGCATATCTTAACCTCAGATACTTTATTGTGGAAATCACTATAGAGTTACAGACTTAAGAAAAACAGAATTTCCAAGAGTCTGATCTTATGAATCCGAGATCAGATTGTCATCCTTAAGCTAGGTAGCCAACCCTACTTTCTTGTGTAATCTTTTTCATATATCATGTTTGTCTGGCCTCTTGGCTTAGATATGCCAGTCTTTGAAAGTCTTTCTTGGTTTACCTGTGTTCTTCAATAAGGAGTTCCCCTATTTGCTTCCACATCAGCTTCTTTGCAGACATTTGAAGAGTCAGTGACCCTGTGCTGCAGGTAGGAAA